TCACTCTGTTGCCCAGGCTGGAGTGCAGTGGCACACTCATGGCCACTGCAGCCTCAACCTACTGGACTCAGGCGATCCTTCAGCTTCAGCCTTCCAAATAGTTGGAACTACAGGGATGTGCCACTATGCCTGGCTAATTTTTTTGATTTATTGTAGAGACAAGGTCTCACCAAGTTTTCCCGGCTGGTCTCGAACCCGTGGGCTCAGACAATCCTCTCACCTCGGCCTCCCAAAGTGCTGGATTATAGGCATGAGCCACCATGCCCAACCTGGTACTAGAATTCTTATTTCTCAAAATGGGGTAGGTTGAAAGAAAATTTCAGTGTCTCACAACATATAAATGGATTTGGATTTAGATGGAGCAGCGATTTGACTACTGAACATATATGTTCCCTAAAGTAATTTGATGATAGAAAAGCTATTAAACAATGCCCCTTTCCTCCATGTAACCCTAATAGTAGTAGGCAGGGAAAGAGGCAGCATAGTTTGATGGGCATGCACCCAAACTTTAAAATTGGAAAAAGAAAGTTTGAATTTCAGCACAATAGATGAATGACTTTGGATAAGTTCTATACCCTTTTTTCTTTTTTTAGTTGAATCTCACTCTGTCACCCATGATGGAGTGCAGTGGATGATCACAGCTCACCACAGCCTCAACTTCCTGGGTTCAGGTGATCCTTCTGCTTTAGCCTCCTGAGTATTTGGACTACAGACACACACCACCACACCTGGTTATTTTTTTTGATTTTTTTGTGAGATGAGGTCTCACTATGTTTTACAGGCTGGTCTTGAACTCCTGAGCTCAAGCAATTCTCCCACCTTGGCCTCTCGAAGCTGGGATTACAGGCATAAGCCACAGCACCTGGCCCCCTATAACCTCTCTGATTGCCCATGTCACAGAGTCATTTAGAGAAGTAAATGAACTAATGGATTGTGAAATTGTTTTGTGAGTTATAAAGCATTTTTTTTGGTCACTTTTTTCTTCTGGGTTCTTACTGCTCTGTGTTTGTCATTCTGCTATAGCATTTCCTATGTTGTATTGTAATTTATTTGTTTATGTCTGTCTCCCACTAGATTGAGCTTTTTGAGAACAAAGATTTTTGTTTTATTTATCTTTGAACACCAGGGCCTAACACATAGGTACTCAATAAATGTTTGATGAATGTGTGAATAACTGTTTCAGGTAGAAGATGGACTCAGGTGACCTATTAAGTTTCCTTTTAGTTTTGCTATTTAAGATTCCATGAAGAGGTCTAGAAGGAATTAGAGATTACATAGGAAGAAATATTTAGAATGTAAAAACATGAAGTTGAAGGACAGTTACAGATTTGTTAAACACACATTAACATTCTAGTGTGTACTTTCAAAAGGGAAATTGTTGAGACGGGTTAATTGAGTTTATGTATAAGAAGGGAGGTTATGATTTGTCAAGTGAGAAGTAATTTTTCTGGCCAAGGAATGATAACAGCCGAAATGAATCTCTTAAAAGCTAGGAAATTTGGCAGTTGAATATCGTGGCTAAACAAATTCATTAGAGCAGAAAGGTATTGAAAACATTTTGAGAAGTGTGGTTAAATCATGGAAAACCAGGCTTCCTTATTAAGATGCCAGAAACTTATGAGACAAGGTGGAGGGTTTGTTGTATTTGTTGTTGTTTGAAAGGACTTGAAGCCACATCTCTAGCAGGAGCAAAGTATGAGCCTTTAAAGAGAAGAATAGATATACCTACAAAAAAGGTGTTTTTAAATTTTGTTTTGTTTTGTCTTTTTTGAGACAGAGTTTCTCTTTGTCACCCAGATTGGCGTGTGCAACCCTGACCTTCTGGGTTGAAGAAGTCCTTCTTCCTCAGCTTTCCAAATAGCTGGGACTAGAGGCACACACAACCATACATGGCTATTTTTTTTTATGTTTTGTAGAGACGAGGTCTCACTGTGTTGCCCCCAGGCTCGAACTCCTGGCCTAAAGCTATCCTCCCACTTTGACCTCTCAAAGTACTGGAATTATAGGCATGAGCCACCATACCTAACCTCAAAAAGTTGTTAATAGACAGAAGAGATCATAAACACAAGGGTGAAAGGTGAAGTAGAAATAGTAAATCACTTATAATGAGAGATGAGAAAGCAGCCTAAACAATAATCCTAAATAAGAAACCGAGAAGAGATAGCAAATATGAAGGCAGCATCAGAGTCCTAGACCTGGAATGGACCTTGAGAGAACTTACAACTAAAGAGCTTAACCAAAACTTCCCTGAACAGTAGACCTCAAAGCCTGACCTGGTGTTGTCATGGAGTGGCTATTAATACAGTCCCTCTCTCTGGTCTCTGAAAAAATGTCCAGGAAAGGAGAAAATAGAAGGGATTGGTGAGGTGGGTTCAAGAGTAATTGTCTCAGCATAGAGGCTTTATCATAGCATAGTAGAATGGGAAAGGCTTGCTCTTAAAAAAATCGAACACATCTGAGTTAGAATCCCAGCTCTGCCTCTTTTTAGTTGTTCGACCTTGAGCAAAGTTCTTAATATCACTAAAGACATTAATAAGGAACTCTGCCTTTCCCCATAACTCCTATTTTTCAGATGTCTGAGTTGCTGATTTAATTTTCCTATAATTTCTGGCCTGTTTTCCATTTCTTTGTTTTTAAATTTTTTTTTAATGCTGTGTTCTAAGACATTTTATCGACTCTATCTTCCAACCCTTTTATTGAGGTTTTAATTCCTCTTGTCATGTTTTTAATTCCCGAGAGCTCTTTTATTTTCTCAATAGTCCTTAAAATTTCTTCTTGTTGTTTTATGGTTGCAATATCTCCTCTAATTCTCTCTGAGGATGTCAAGGATAGATTTTCCTTTTAAAAGTTTTCCTATGAGCTTCAAGGATCTTCCCCAAGAGTATAGACCTCCATTCTTCTGTTGGGGTCGGGAAAGGGAAGTATTATTGCAAAGTAGGGGCGGGAATCTGCAAGTCAGATTCTCGGGCTGATTTTCAACCAGTCCTCCTACATGTTCCTGAGCCTTTTTGGAGTTCTGGGGTATAAATTGACTTGTCTCTTAGCTTTCCCTACTGATGATTTGACATGCAGTTTTCTCATTTCTACTAGCTCAGTTGCTATTTGTCCAGCTATCTAGTTTCCAAAACTTGTTGCTAATGTCTTCTTTCCTGTATCCTCCTTTTTGTGTATTTATGCCCTTTAAGCATTTCTTTACTATAGTTTGATCAGAGTTTTGAGGAAAGAGCAGAGCTATATCTGTGAGTTAAATCTACCCTCTTTAACCAAAAGTCTCTTGATTCTTCCATGTCTTTCTTTTAGATTAGAAAATATAGTTTATTTAGAAAGTAAATTAGAGAGAGAAAGAGGTGATTCACCTCCCCAAGGTAGGGGAGGGGGCCAAAGCTTAAGAAAACATGGCCTAGCCATAGATCAAAGAGCACATGGCCACACCATAGCTTAGCAAGGCACTGGCCACAATGGCCTGGCAATGGTGGTGATGGTCTCTGGCAACGGCATCCCATGTCTTTTATATCCATCTCTTTGCATTTTAACTATCACCATATTATACAGATCCTTACCACTGTATATCTGGGCTTTTTTCCTCTATCATCTTCTCCCTTAGGTCTGTCCTCTGCAATGCTATAGATTCATGTTCCTGAAAAACTGGACTATGTATCATAGGTTTTTTGTGTGTGTGTGCCAGCCAAGAAGCACCGATGTGTATCACAGCTTTGATTGTAAAAACTCTTTAGTTGCTTTCTGATGCTGACAGGAGAAAATCTACATTCCTTAACCTGACATTCGAAACCTTCCACAATCTAATCTCTGTCAACCTTTTCACCCTCATCTTTTAGGCTTTTGAAAACACTCATATGTATACCCAGACCCATACCTACCTGTAGCTTTGATCAAACTTGTCTGGAACACGAGAGGCACAACAGCTGGGCTTGCCTGGTGATGTATCCAGTAGACTTAGCAGTTGATGTGTTGATTTTTAGTGATCAACTTAAAATTCTGGCCAGGTGCAGTGGTTCACACCCTGTAATCCCAGTACTTTGGGAGGCAGAGGCAAGAGGATTGCCTGAGTCCAGGGTTTTGAGACCAGCCTGGGCAACTTGGCAAGACCTCATCTCTACAGTAAATCAAAAAAATTAGCAGAGTGTGGTGGTGCATGCTTGTGGTTCCAGCTACTTGGAAGGCTGAGGCAGAAGGATCACCTGAGCCCAGCAGGTCGAGGCTGTGGTGGCTGAGGGCATGCCACTGCACTCCAGTCTGGGTGACAGTGAGACTTCTACTCAAAACAAAACAAAAAAATTATGTTTTAAGTGAATACCGGTCTAACTTGAGGCATCTTACAGCTCTTTTTAGCTTAGGACTTGAAAAATCTGTTTTTCATATATACTATTTCTTGATTGTGTTCACTATACTGCATATTGAGTTTTTCCATGACATATTACTTTACACCTTATTTATTTTCTGCTAGACTCTGAAGAAGCAAAGATGAGTAGGATGTGGAAATTACATAATAAACTACTATCTTATTATATGGTATTGAGTTTAAGCCCCAGCTCAATGACTGGGTTTACACCTTGTGATTTAATATTCTTCTAGGATTTAACCTTGTAATTTATTATATTCTTCCTACCAAAAGAATATTCTGACATTCACATCAAGTATGTTTATAACATTTTCCTGAAAGTATATTGTTTTTTAAATTTAAAAATATTAAAAAATAAATTGACATAATAATCATGTATATTTATAGGATACATAGTGATGTTGCAATATGTATAATGTATGGTGATCAGATTAGGCTAATTAGCATATCATTATCCTATATATTTATCATCCTTGTTCTAGCTATTTGTAACTATATAATATATTATTGTTAGCTATAGTTATTCTACAGTGGTATAGAACATAGAACTTTTCCCTCCTAGCTAGCTGTAATTGTATGTCCTTTAATAATTCTCTCCCTGTCTCCCATGTTTTCTAAATGATTTTTTTTTCTCCCTCAGAATTGTCTTTACTGACCTCTTCATTATGAATCTAATTCTTTGGGTGAAAGGCTCATCTGCTGCTATCTCCTTTGGCACTCTGATAGGTATCCTTACAATGTGGTTTGGAATTTCCGTACCACTAACATTTTTTGGTGCATATTTTGGAAGAAAGAGAAAGGTAAACTTTAAAACTATTGCTTTTGACCACTGAGTGATACCTAAAATAATACCTCACAGTATATATACTATACATGGAATATAAAAAGTACTGCTGGATCTCTAGAGTAAGAAAGGGAAAGAAAACAAAGTACTATTGGAGAAAACTACAGAGAATAATCGTTTTGGATTATTTTATATATAATATATATGTATATTCATATTATACATATATATATATATATTTTCTTTTTTTTTTTTTTCAGTCAGGGTCTCACTCTATCACCCAGGCTGGAGTGCCGTGGCACAAACATGGTCACTACAGCCTCATGCCTCAGCCTTCCAAGTAGCTGGAAATACAGACACATGCCACCATGCCCAGCTAATTTTTTGACTTATTGTAGAGACAAGGTCTCACCAGGTTGCCCAGGCTGGTTTCGAACCCCTGGGCTCAGGCAGTCCTCCCGCCCCCACCTCCCAAAGTACTGGGATTACAGGTGTGAGCTACTGTGCCTGGCTGGAATAAAAGATATTTTAAAAATTAAGTAAAAGACAGTAACACTTTTAAAGACACTATTTGATGGACTTCCCACATTATAGATTGTTTATATTTCCTTTTATCTCTGATGAACAAAATTAAAAGGACATATTGTAAGAAGGCTGACATCAGCCAACTTAGAAAAGTAATAGGATTATATGGTGAGGAAAGATAGCCAAGATATAGTCCAAGACACGGGGCTATTCAGTTTACAGATTTGAAAGTTAGCCTATTCTACACATAACAAAAGGGTGCAGGACACCCAAAAGAATAAATGAGGCCACACTGCAAAACAATTGTATAGGGGAGTAGTCTGAAAAGGCAAAAAGGGAGGGAGGTGGAGTTCCATTTTGAAAACTATTGACAAATTCATTTTTGTTTGTTTGATTTTTTTGTGTGTGAGTTGGGTGTCTCACTGTGTCACCCAGGCCAGAGTGCTTTGGTACAATCATGACTCACTGAAACCTCAACCTCCTGGGCTCAGGCGATTCTCTCCCCTCAGCCTCTCAAATAGCTGGGACTACAGGCGTGCACCATCATGCCTAGCCAAACTTTTGATTTTTTTTTTTTTTTTTTTTGTAGAGACAAGGTCTTGCTATGCTGCCCAAGCTGGTTTTGAACTTCTGGGCTCAAACAATCCTTCTGCCTCGGCCTCCCAGATTGCTGGGAGTACAGGCATGAGCCAACATGGCTGGCCAGAATTATTATTATTATTATTTTGAGACAGAGTCTCACTCTGTTGCCCAGACTGGAGTGCAGTGGCACAATTACAGCTCCTGGGATCAAGCAAGCCTCCTGCCTCTGTCTCTCCAGTAGCTTGGACTATAGGCACATACCACCATACTCAGCTATATTTCATTTCTTGTAGAGACAGGGTCTCACTATGTTGCCCAGGTTTGTCTTGAACTCCTAGCCTCAAGCAATCCTCCCACATCAGCCTCCCAAAGTGTTGGGATTACAGGTGTGAGCCCCTGCACCTGGCCTCATTTTACGTTTTAAAAATGTAGCTACTAGCTGGGTGCAGGGGCTCACACCTATAATCCCAGCACTTTGGGAGGGAGAGGCGAGAGAATTGCCTAAGCCCATATGTTCTAGACCAGCCTGGGCAACATAGTGAGACCTCATCTCTACAATAAATAAAAAAAATTAGCCAAGTGACATGCACCTGTAGTTCCAGCTACTTGGAAGGCTGAGGTGGAAGGATCACTTGACCCAGCAGGCCAAGGCTGAGGTGGCCATGAGCGTGCCATTGCACTCCAGGCTGGGTGACAGAGTATGACTCCAATTTAAAAAAATGTAGCTACTACAAAATTTAAAACTACATATGTGGCGTGTATTATATTTCTATTGCACAGCTCTGGGTCTAGCCCCTGCCCACATGACTGCTCTTTTTTCGTTTGTTTGCTTTGGTTTTTTTGTTTGCTTAAAGCTGTTTTGAGAAAAATGATTGCTCTTGTAAATATTCCATGTCCTGTTCGGATTCAAGATTTCTTTTTTCTCTTTTTGAGTAGGAGTGTCACTGTCGCCCAGGCTGGAGTGCAGTGGTACGCTCACGGCCACCGCAGCCTTGACCTGCTGGGTTCAGGTGATCCTTCTGCCTCAGCCTTCCAAGTAACTAGGACTATAGGTGTGCTCCATCACACTTGGCTAATATTCTTTTTTTTTTTTTGAGTTGGAGTCTCACTCTGTCATCCAGACTGGAATGCAGTGGCTGCTCCCGGCCACCGCAGCCTCAACC